CCTGTCTCCTCCTCTTCGGAGTTTATTACCTCATGCTAAACACTGTCTTCTTCCTAGAGGGGGCCATAAAACCGAAAGTGACTGAGGAAAGAATAATTAAAGCCATTATCAGTCTGTGAGAAGAGATTGGTGTGTTTTTTCTCCTGGACGGAATTATCCCATGTGTCTGGGAAAGGACAAAGGAGCTCTTAGTGGGAAGGAGAGGGCAGAGAATACATTTCACAATTTTGCTTAAGTGAGCTCTGTCAGTCAATCACTTATTAGGCATTCAAATCCTTCAGAGAAGAAATGGAAGAAAATGGTTAAATAGCTGGGGCAGGAGTGGAGGGAAGGTTGGGACACCACACACCCTCAGGTACACCCTGAACTTAGGAAATCATTATCTACACAGAAATTTAATCATTAAACACCCCTCAGCCCTTACACTGTTGCCAGTCCTAGTTTGGCTTTTAGACGGGTTGTTCATAAGACTTTGACATTCAAGAGTTGACTTTTCCCTTAAAAAACAATACACTAGGTTAATTTGAAACATGATCTGCGTCTCCTAGTTGATTTGTTTCCTAACTATTAAACCTGTTACAAAACATCCCAACTTAGGGGAGAGGCAGCATTGCCAATGGATACTGTTACCAGCCTTCCCTGTATACGGTTGCCTTCACCAAACCTACAGCTTCCTGCACAATTTGAAGTCCTACCAATCACTGGAACCTGACTGAGGCAAACACTGGGTTTTCTTAGACAAGCTCTGAAATTTGGTTCTTTCTTCCAAAGAAGAAAAGTCATTAAATCCAGCACAATGCTTTGATTAAAGAGTACTTTCTCAAGACTTTTATTAAAAACAAAGCAATAATAAATGACAAGAAGAACCAGGGAAGGACGGGGGCTAAAGTTACAAACCACCCACAGTCATAATGAAATGTCTGGGACTCTACCAACTTGGCATGCTTATAAAATACCAAATATATCACTAGAACTGGGCGGGGTGGATCATGCCTATAGTCCCAGCACTTGGAATGCTAAGGCAAGAGGAATGTCAGCAATTGAATATAGCCTGGGGGTACATAGTGAGCTGCAGACCAGCCTGAGCTACAATGTGAGACCCTATCTTAAAAAAAAAAAGTCCAAAATCCTCATAAGGGAGGAGAAATAAAGTTGGGCTCAATCATGGATACATTTGTCCATCAAACTGTTTTCTGAATATCTTTTGTGTATTAGGCTTTGAAACAATGTAGACAAGATCCCTGCTCCTAAAGATAGTGGAGGGTACCGAGCTGTGGGCAGGCAATCACAGGGTATGAGAAACATCAGAAGGGGGGCAGGAGAGGGTGGGGGATGGGGTAGAGGGCACTCATAAGGAGAAAACAGGTTCAGGGAGGGAAAAGTGATGCCTAACATCTCAGAGAGTGAGACTAGAACTTGGGAATACTATAGTAATGTTCCATTTATATTTTAATAAATAAAGCTTAACTGAAGTTCAGCGTTAACTGGCCAGCCTTACAGACCAGGCAGCAATAACACACACCTTTAATCTCAATAGCCACACTAGCTTGCCATAGAAACCAGGCAGTAGTGGTGCACGCCCTTAATCCAAGAACTAGAGAGGAATACAAAACGGGAGGAGACGGCTCTCAATCTCAGTCTCATTGTGAGATTCCTGGAGGCAGGATCACCATTTCGGACCGAGGTCAAGGTGAGAGCCAGTGACTGACTGCTTTGCTTTTCTGACCTTCAGGTTGAACCCCAATTTCTCTCTCTGAGTTTTTATTAATCATGCATCAGAGAGAATGCTACATGCCTGAGTTCAGGCCACTCTGCAACCCTGAATGATTTCTGTTATCACTTTCTCTGTTTCATCAATAGTGATACTGTTGAATGAGCATTGATGAAATAAATGCGTGTCATAGACCTGGCAGTTTGCAGCAAATGGCAAGTGCCCAATAGATGTTAGCTAAAGTGGTATTAATGGGGAGAGCAGGCCAAGAACAGCCAGCTAAGGGGGGAAAGGAAGGAGGTGTGTGTCCAGAAAGGTGGACCTGAGAATGAAAGAACTGAGTCTGAGCCAAGTGATGGGGGCATTCTCTGAGGAAGGGATGCAAAGATGGAACTAAAGCTGGAAAAGCAAGCAGGGTCCAGCTCCACAGAAGTCCCCCAGAACTCTGCTCAGAGGATCACATTGCGCCAACCACCTTGGCCTTGGCATGAAGATGCAATGGGGAGTGAAGTGACTGGGGGCAGGGATACCAATGATGAGATTTTTTTAAATGCAACTCCTTGGCTGCTGTAGGTTTTCACACACAAAAGTGTACCTCAATCCAAAAGGGATCCTGGGGTCATCATTAACTTGTCTGTTGAGCATTTCATTGACTAATGGATTCACTCATTCATTCAACAAGCATCTAAACCTGAAGGTTAGCATTTCCTCCACTCATCCACCCACCCATCCACCCACCCACAATCCATCCACCCACCCACCCACAATCCATCCATCCACCCACCCACACATCCATCCATCCTCCCACCCATCCATCCATCTACCCCCCCATACATCCATCCATCTACTCACCCATCCATCCATTCATTCACCCACTCATCCATCCACACATCCATCCATCCACCCACTCATCCATCCACACATCCATCCATCCACCCACCCATCCACACATCCATCCATTGAGCATCAAGACCTGAAGGTACTATCAGCTGTTCAGCACTTCATTCATCAAGACCTGAAGGTACTATCAGCTGTTCAGCACTTCATTCATTCACCCACCCATTCACCAAGCATCCATACCTGCCAACAGGCTGTGAGAGATATTAACAAGCATTGCCCTGCATGGCCCTAGTCTCCAAAGCATTCTGCCCAGCCATGACTGCACATGTCCTCTCAAGCTCGGAAGCACCTAGCCCTAGCGACCCAGATGACTTGTAGGAGCAAAGGTGCTTTGTAGGGAGGTCAGAAGGCCATGCCACAGAACAGATTAAGATGAAACCCAAAGCAAGAGGGTGGCTTTGCCGTCATCCTGGGAAACAGAAACACCACTAACGACATCAGTGGGCAGCTGACTACGTCCTGGTCATGAAACATCCAGTAACAGTCAACATTTGCTAAACAGCTTGTCTTTGGATTTCAGGTGAATTTACAGATTCATCATGGCATTATGGAATCTTTATACCCATTCTAGAGTGGGAAGAATGAGTCAAGGGCACATCCCCAGAAGTACAGAATTAATGCGATAGAGCGTCTTCATCTCTAAGCCATGTGATCTCCGTGGCCGGGGCTCTAGCTCAGTAGTAGAATGCCAACTTACTATGAGCAAGGTCTTGGGTTCAGCGCCCCACACAGAAAAAGAGAACACAAGGATTGACTCTGGCCAGTGTGGGCCACCAAGCTGACTAAAGAATGCAATCTAATTCTGACATCTAAAATATCAAAATCTCTCCAGGACAATGATCACGGCTAGCTCTTATATTAGAAAAATTTGGAAAGCTAATTACACGAACAATATATTATCCATGTTACGAAGAGATGCATCCTTACAGAAGTCAAATCAAATGAATACAGAGACAATGAGAGATGAAATGAAGACGCTCATCAAATGAGTACCATTTTGACACTTTTTGAAGTTGATTTTACCCCTTTAAGTACTGCCCTACCATATGGCAAGAATGTATCAGCCGTACCATATGGCAAGAATGTATCAGTAGTTATCCACTGGGGCTACACTCATTTTAGGTTAAAGCCTAATCTGGGAGTGGGAGCTGTTTGCACAGGTCTGTTTGGAAAGGTGTAACCAGAGGAAAGAGAACAGCCTAAGAGAAGAGGCCTGTTACTCTTGGTTTTCCGGTAAGCAAGAGTGTGGGAAGAAACGTTGATTACCTCAATGACAAACAGGTGGACTAGCTCATACTCAGACTCTGTAGGATTTCACCGGGCAAGCAGAGCAAGTGTGGAATAAGTCTATTTAAGTCATGAACCCTAGGAACTATTTCCAAATTGACAGGAAGGGGGTAAAACAATCCCTCTAGGTTGAAAGAAACCACCTGCGCCTTGTTATGCCACTGGATGCCAAGAGTGAGGGGGAACCCTGAGCCTGGGCTCTTCCCGGACAGTGGTAAGAATCCCAGGCCAGATGGCATTTTAAAATCTAATCTCACGCTATGTGTCTCTCCCCCACTAACCTACATTATTTTCAAAGCAGTCACAGCCATTTCCACAAGATACGACCTTACAGGCACTAACGCCTCCCTGCCCCTCGAAGAAAACAAACAGCCGTCTTAACTGCAGAGAGAGAGAGAGAGAGAGAGAGAGAGAGAGAGAGAGAGAGAGAGAGAGAGAATAAAGATTACAGAACTAGTAAAAAACTACCACTGCTAAGGAAACGCACACGCCCAACACCCCGCACAGAGCACGGCTTTTCAAACACGGCCCATTCACAAACACACTTAAACACAGCTCACTAACAAAACCTTAAACACATTCACTTGCCAGGCGCGTTCTTCGGTACTCATTTGCCACCCCTGAAAAGTAACTCAGCCGCTCAGACGCCCCAGGTCGCTAGGCACAGAGCCTGCCTGATGTCACCTGACCGGCCCTGCCAGGAGCTCCCTGCAGGACTTGGGGGACCCTCCCCCCAGTTTCCACCTGCCCTCTTGGAGGACCCTTCTCCATCCCCACTGGCAAGGAAACAGAGTAGCATTGTCTTTGGCACTGGGTCATTTGCAAGAGAGAAACGCTGACGAGATGGGTCCCCAGCCCAGCCACCTGCCCCAGTCCGCGTCACCACAGTCCAGTGGAGATCGCCTCGAAGGCTCCCCGACAGCCAGGAGGTGTGAACAATGAACTTGTCAGGCTTGGATCTCCCACACCCAACCACACCGCCCGGGTCCCGCCGTGGGAAGTTAGGAACTGAACCCGCGGGGTCGGTTCCACGCGCGAAAGGGCCCACGCGCGTCCGCGGGCCGCGCCCCTCTCGTCGCCTGCCCGGGAGCTGGCCCGTTACCTCCTTCCTGCGGCTGGGCGCCCCAGGGCGGGTGATGAGGGCGGTCTCCTCGCACACCACGGCCACGTCCTCCACGAACACGCAGTCGGGCAGGCTCTCGTCGGCCGGCAGCTGCACCACCTGCAGCCCCAGCTTGCTGCTCAGCACGTCCACGTAGAGCTGGTGCTGGCGCTCGGCGCGAGCGAAATCCACCTCTTCACCCTGGGAACGTCTCAGCGCGTGGCGACACAGGGACTCGGGCAGCGCCCGCACCACGGCGTGGGTGGCCCGGCCAAAGACGGCGGGGTGGCCGAGGCCGGCCATGGCTCGCACGGAGAGACAGTGGCGGGGTTTGGCGCGGTGGCCGGGTCCTCCCGAGAGCGGCG